GTAGTGCCTAGCGTGTTAATACCACACAGCCGTTCTTAATCTTTTAAATCAATCTGCTAGGTAGATTAAGAAGATTATTTTTTGTAGGTGTAAGTTTACGATGCTCTCTAGACTAATAAATTCTTTGATTCCCTAGTGTAATGCCTCAATCCCTTTTTACCTTTCACCTCTGTTTAATTAATTTTAATTTTAACAAGTTCTTAAGAATAGAATTTGTTAAATATAAACTGATATCATTTTAAGTACAAATATTAAAATTTCACATTAATTTACCTGAACTATAACCAAAGAAGAACAATAAATCATTAATTAACAAGCAATTAAGAAGAAAATAATATAATTGTTAAGTATTTATAAGAAGCTCTAAATGGCATCTACTCAGCCGGGTATAATATATCTCGGTTATTATATCTAAAATACCTACGTGACAAATTGTTTGTCTAACAGGCGGAAGTTGCAAGATTCTCATCACGTTTTGCTAATCATAAATTCAACTATATTCTTATAAAATTATTGATTAATCATGTATAACCTAATCGTCAGTCTGAAATAGTAAGGACTACAGTACGTACTTAGTACTAAGTACTACAATACTAAACCCAGTTTGAGTTTTGGTACCCTCATTGCTAAGTGCAAGGTGAGATTGCATAGGATAGGTTGATAACTTTTTAAGTTTGTCTTTGGACTTCATAGTTCAGCTATAAGTTTTTACATTGGATGTCCTTCTAGTATATGAGTTTGTACACTCTATACAGTATTTACAGAGTATATAATGTCTCATGTGCAATTGAATATGAGTTGATGAATATGAGTAGCACATATTAACGCGGAAGTGTGAAGTAGCAAAAAATCGATGGGTTTGCCAATGAAACCAATCTATATGAATAATTGACGATATTTATCAACCTATTATCTAAAAATCTAAATGTACCAATTAATCAAAATTGTATTTCTTCTACTGTTTGTTATAATTGTGAAAAGCACATTTACTCAATAGTGTCTGAAATAACTTAGATGATTCACTATCATAAAAGCTCTATTGAATTCTGATAATAAGTTATTTAATTGATTTGAAGAAGTATACTTTGAATCCCGACATATCTTTCCGACTGATTTTTGATACACAGAATCGAACAATTTCAGCTGACTCTGTCTTCGATATACTTTTGCAAACTCTTTACTCTCAAGTTCAAAGACTGAAATCAGTCTACATTTCTGATGTACCATGAAGCTTTTATCATAAGTCCTAATACAATTTTCTGTTTAGTTTTAAGTTTTATAATGGTGGATGGAGGCAGTATTGCCTCTATTATTATTATTTCTCTATGGCTGTGTTTAGGTTTAATTATTTCGCTATAAAGCAGAATTTTATTTTTCTTACTCCAGTTTCCCTCTGTTAATGGGCTTAGGCCATTCAGAGCCACTTATAATCAGTATTATATATTTTCTTAAAAAAAATTTTAATTGTTAAAGTGATTTGTATTACAATTTTCCTCATGTTTAATCGATTAAACCTTGTTTCAGTTTTTATTCATTAAATAATTAAAAATGTTATTAATTTTTTTTTTTGAAAGCTTTGAAGCAAACAAACTAATATAATTGTTAAATAAATCTGAGTTAATAATTTTATTAATTTTTTTATATTTTTTTTTGTTGTTTAACACATTTCACACTCAAATTTTTTCTAATTTATGATCATAATTAATTAAAAATTTAATTTTTTTTTTTGGTATATTAACATGCAAATGTATATGACGTCTATTGTAATATTCATTTTGATATACATGTGTATTTCGAGTTGTTCTCAAAATGCACAAAAATTAAATGATCTACTAAAGGTAAACAAGTCTACTATAGTAATTTCAATATATACCTACAATACAATTTTGCTTTTTATATGCAAAAAAATAGTTTTTTTTGACCTCCTTTTACAAAGCATTATGAATAAGTATTTATTCTTTTATGACTGCGAACAGAAAATTAAAATTTAATAAGCAAAGCCAGCAGATACAAAACCTAGCAATTCTCTTCGGCTGATTATTTTAATTTCAAGCTCTTTCTCATACCAACCCTGACTGTCTCAAACGATTACAGCGTAAACACTATTTTAATTGCCGTGTCACACGAATCACGGGGTGTCGAAATTGTATACCCCTTCCGCCTTCTGTCTTCCATTAGCTTCAGTAATTAGCAATAATTTCAAATTTTTTTTTTCAGTGTTATAAGCGAAATACCAAGCAATTGTTAAAGCTCAATTTCGCACATGAATAATAGTACCTAGGTCTGTTGAAATTGATTATAGGAGTGAGCATTTTTAAAGGTAATTCACTTCAAAGAGTTCTAAAATAATTACTTGAAGCAGTGGATGTGGCGTGGTTATTATATTCGAAGTCAGATTTAATTAACATGACTTGAACTGGCGAACAATGGTGTACTTATGGTGTTTATGCAACTAATTTACCATGAAACCGAAGCTAATATTTTACAAGACAGAAAATTAGTAAAATTTAACAATAAATTTTTATGCAATTTTTAAATTTAAATTTTTTAAAAATATACAAAACATGTTACAAAAATTAATTAATATTGTGAATATATTTCTTAAAGGAATTCAAATAAACATTTTAAGTATACATAGAGGAATTAGTTTTATCGATACTTTAATATCTTTTGTGTGAACAATAATGGTTCAGATCGGTTATACAAAAATTCTGTGTATATAAAAGTATTTAAAAGTTACAAAATGAAAAACGCTTGTAAAAGATATTGCCACAATTTTTATTTAGAGCTGGCAGCACTACCATGTGCTAGCATGCACAGACTCTATCAGACTCCTACCCAGTGCATCTAGATCTGTTGTTTTTGGAATTTAGTGTGTTTAGTGTGTTATGTCATGCCGCAAAGACATTATTATATCATTAAATTAATGAATTAATTGAATTATAAAATTAAATAAAAGCACTTCTGGTTTCCTATATCGAAACTGAGAAACTATATACTTTAATAACTGCACGTTTATTAAAAAATTCTTTCCATGTTTTAGATAAAATTTTAAATGCCATTTTAATTGCCGATTAAAATGTATAAATTTTTTAACGATATTTGTATGCAAATTGGAAAATTTATTTTCGAA